GTTAAAAGTGCTGTTAGTCGATTCCTCGTGGTCGGTTCTCCTAGATAGCGTGCTTTCCTAGCGGTTTCCAGAAAACTCGAAGTTGGTGTGTCTCGTTTATATATCTTTAGTTAGCATGATCTGACACATCTAAGAACAGGGAATATGTATCCGATTCCGAAACCGATCCTGATTCAATCGAAATGAGTGAGGGAGAAGGCAGTGGACAAACTCCTGAGAGACTACAAACTGGAGTGCAGCAAGGTTCTGCAACATCTAGACTCAAGAGAAAAGCCTCCGATGACGTAGAAATGGTTCCTGCCAGTCTGTTGGAGAGAGCGAGGGAAAAGAATTCTAAACTTGCTGCTCAAGTATGCAGGCTAAAAGCCGAAATCCCAGACTGCAGAAAAAGCTGGGAGGATCTGGAGAAACAGATCTCAATATTTGAGTCGATAAAAAGGATTTTGAGGAGGTTAAATCCTAACTCAGTGATGTGAGCAACAAATTGGTTTCATTGGAGATGGTCATTATGTCTTCCCTAGTTTCCCATCAACTGCCGTCAATAGAAGCATAGTTTTCATCATTCAAGATGCTAGAGAAGCCGGCTTGGGCGTACCTACAACATAGTGGATCATTGTTACATTATTTGAGAGTTACATGTCTTATACTACCTAGCTTTTGTTCACTTCTAGATGTTTTCTTTATCACTTTTCCGATAGCACTAAACAAAATCCAAATCTGTTCGGAGCTTGCTATCACAGTGTTTTCTAGAAGCTGTTCTACACTTGTAACAAGATCTATCTCACTTCTCACTCGGATCGCCTATGTAACGGTTTTTAGCAGGCGACAATGAAGTATCCATGATTCAGGAAGTCAGTGCACATGAAATATTCGGATCACGGCAGCAAGCAGTGCTTACCAAGATTTGAGCACAATCAGTGTGGCATAAGATCGCGTCCCGAAACGAAACATCAACGTCATCCACCCGTCTCTGGTTGATCGTCAACGAAAGAGAGCAACGATGCGATTGTTTCGGGATCTTCTGCCTTGGCAGCCTAAAACGTTTGAAAGGCAGATGTTGAGAGTGCCGTCGAGAAGACAGAAGTTGGCCAGACTCGCAACGTAGCTAGATCAAACAAGACTGTTGGCTCTGGTCATTCTTCCGAGATGATAAAAGCAATGAGATTAGCGACGTTATTCATAGTTTAAAGCAGACAAGCGCTACTGACAATGTGTGGGACGAGTACGAATAATCGAAATCAACTATCTAAGCCGATCATTGAAAAAGGTACCTACGATACTAACTAGTTCATGAACTAGTAGAATACTGGCCAGAGCTACGCCATAGTTTCCCCAGCTTTAGCCCGCCTTCCATGAAAATATAACGAACACCAGCTTCAAGCTATGACAATGAGCGCTTATTTAGTTAGTTACTAAGCTTGGTGATCTTTCAGAGCCACAGAGGCGGAAACTTAGGTCCCAATCACTTACCACTATACAGTATGTATTTAACTAATTAGTCAGTTACGCTATTTAGAGAGAGCTAGATCTAGGGACAACTATTTTAGCAGCTGTGTTAGAACTATATGCCGAAAGAGGCTAAAGCCGAAAAGGTTGAAAGTGAAGGAGTTTGGACCTCATGAGGTGGACGGGCCCAGCCACCGAAAATTTTAGTAAATGCTCCTTCTTCCCTATTATGAAAGTTTAGCAGGTATATCCATTAACTATCCAACAAACTAATTAATACTCCACAACAGGCACGATCACTGATATGGCGCTTGATGAAGTAATTAACACACAAATTATCTAATTAGTTAGTTGATTGGCAACTTAACACCTAAGATCATTAACTAGGTCGAGAAAGCTGAGCAAGCTAACAAGCTAGACAAAGATGCCAGAACGAAGAAGCTAGTTAGTCAAGCCTTTATTAACACAAACCAGCTAATTAGCTAAGCTAAAGGCACCGGCTTGGCTAGCTTGTTCGTTGGTAAGTCTGGTGTCAGGGATAATACTGCGTGTAACAGAGTTGTAGTTTATCTATGCCGTTGTTCTTTACCTTGATGGACAATCTAATCATAGCTTGCTCCATGTTCTTCAAGCAGAGTAATTGCGTCCTTTGATTCCTTCTCTATTGCATACTTAAGGGCAGTGCGGCCTTTCTTGTCTTTTGCATTGATATCAGCACCCTCTTCAATAAGATATTGCATGACATTCACATTTTTATCATATATTGCCATGAAAATGGGAGTACCACCACTTGTATGTTGCACATCGAGGCCTGCTCCGTGGGTAACTAGCGCACTGACTTTGTCTGCGTCCCCAAAAAGACATGCCAAATGAAGTGCAGTATATCCTTGTCGGTTTTTGAAGTCGATATGATCTTGAATTATGGATAGTATATCGGAAATGTCCTCGTGTCTGTAAGTCATAGCTGCAGTAAGAGGGGTGTTGCCATGGCGATCCATTGGGTTAACAGGGGCTCCTTTATTAACAAGCAGGTTGCATGCTTCCTTATTGCTCATCGACATCGCTATATGCAGTGGGGTTCTCCCCCGATTGTCTGCTACTACGATATCTGCTCCCTCGTCAATAAGAAACTCAATCCCGTTCCCATCACGGTTCTCAAGCGCTACATGGAGTGGAGTGCGACCTTGGTTATCTTTCGCGTTGATATCTGCCTTCGCTTTACAGAGAATAGTCGCAATATTCTTAATATCAACGCCGCGTTTACATGCTTCGTGCAGAGGAGTCGAGCCATCTTTGGCTTTCACGTTGACATCCGCTCCATTAGTGATAAGTGTCTTGACCGATTGCACAGTACCACGGAAAGATACATCGTGAAGCGCTGTGCGGCCATCTTGATCTCTTATAGTAAGGTCAGCTTTAGAGGCAAGTAATTTAATAATATCCTGTGCGTCTGAAGCTCGATGTAGTGCGGTGTAACCGTTGTTGTCTTGTGCGTTAACATCCACTCGTTTTTCTAAGAGCGACTTTACTACGTCTTTCTGATTTCGATAGCATGCTTCATGGAGTGCCGTAGAGCCATTGATGCTTTTTGCATCAATAGCGGCTCCTCGGTCAATAAGCAGGGATACTTTACTAGAAGGCATAGTTAAGTTGGAAAAATATATTGAAATATGCAGTGTACAATTAGCTGATTGTTAAATAGACTGATATATCAATCAGTGTATGCAGCGGAAACAAGTCCTTTAAATAGCCAATTAACATCTTGTGGAAGCATATTTTATAAAGAACAATTAGTTAAGAATGACGCTTAGGGTATGAAGTGAATATTGATTATGCTAACTAAGTAAACCATGCGCTTACTAAATTACAAAGTAATAACAGATTAATATGAACCTAAAAGTAAGCGTGATTACACTATCGAATATGCAGTAGACATACTTATATACATAGTTCAGGGCCCTAAAAGACTAACTAGCACTTGATGACATGAATAAGCATTCTATTCCTGCCTTGTAGAACTCACTTCGAAAGGCTAATGAGTTATGGATCATTTTATTAAAGATCAACCAATGAAATTGACTGTGCTATAGCGAGCACTTAGCCGTGAACTAATTATGGAGGGTGAGGTGTACTAAAACCGTTGGGCGACAATGCGCAGGGGTAAAGTTACAATCGCCAACGACTTCATAGCTCAGGAACTGACAGCTCGTTTCATTCACTCATTGAGTGAATATTGTACGCAGCTTTTACAATAAAGCATTCTGTTGTATGCTAGTTATGCATACTCATTTATGTTAGTATTTTGCTTACGTACAGCAAGGAAAAAATTGCTTAAACAACGTGCCAGCAGAATCAGCCTACTCGCTTAAGGCTAAGCGTCAGCCATACGCATCATCCAAACCATGGCTTTCACTCTCTAAATAGCCAGGTGCAAGTGTATTTGCTGTTACACACACACACAATTTATTTACGCCCGGCGGCCGAGCCGAAAGGGCTACTAACACTAGTCTAACTTTACACTTCCTACGCTCAGTCTTGGTCTCCCTAGCCCATATGTCTTCTTTGGCCCACTTCTCTATATAGCTTGCTATTTGCTGTTACACTCGCTTGCAGAATTGGCTTCCGGTATCTACACTTCGCGCCCTTTCTCACAGCAGGGGGGTCAGCCTCGCTTAGCGGGAGCTATACCTCATACGCTTTAGATCAACTTAAGCCGCCTAGCTCCTGCTAGTATCTGTGATACAATACTCAATCGCCGGAAAGCTTACAACCCTGTAGCCGGTGCGGGTCGGCCGTCCTCCCTGCTAGCGCCGCTGGGATAGTTCATTGGTTCAATGATGCTGAAATGACAAATCATCAACGTGCACGTAGTTCCAGAAGTAGCCATCTTACTACTTGAATTTAGGGCATGCGCGAAGGTTCTTTGTGTTAAATCAATGTAATATATAGTTATACTGATCCCTAGCCGTCTATAGAATGGAGAAAATCATAACATGTATGAAAGAAGTGTGCATTAAGTGAATATTGTATTCTAAGTGTGTGAGATCTACGCACCGCGGCTAAACACATGACCAGCTAAGGTTTGGGGTGCGCAGCCTTAAACCTTGGGCACTCAACGTTGACGTTGGCGCCCTTATTGAGCAGTAGCTTCACTATTGCCTCGTGGCCTGCAACTGAAGCCGCATGGAGTGCGTTGCCGTACTCTCCACCCTGGGCGTTAACGTCGGCGCCCTTGTCGAGCAGTAGTTTCACCATTCTGTGATGTCCATGTTCTGCTGCAAGATGTAGGAGAGTCTGGCCCTTGCTGTCCCTTTTTTCTAATGTGGATGTTGTCTCTCCTACTTGGTTTAGGAGCAGGGTCTCCAATACAATGGCTAATCCGAAACGTGCTGCAAGATGTAATCCCGTGCTGTCCTTGGAATAATTCTGGCTATACCCTTGATGTCGGGAATTTGGCCGTAACAATACCTGCGTAGCGCAAGAAACCAATTCTTGGCAGAAAAGAAATGAGCAGGCTAGCTCACATATCTCACCTTCTACTGTTAACGCATGCTCTCCCCAGTGCTTGGCAGCATATTCTAACAATTGGCTTTCTTGAAGTCTCTCTTCAAATTCTTCGTCAGAGGAGCAGTTCCCAGTTCTAAATACGCTAAATGATAGGTACGTGAGACATGTCGAGGCCAGATGTAGTTGAGCGCTTGGATTCCATGCATCTCGGATACGTTCAAAGTATTCTTGGGTAGTGTAATGCACAAGACGGATGACAGCACTTTCTTGGTCAACGACGACCAGTCCAGCACACACGGATAATAGGTCCTCAACATCAGGTATGTTCTCGGGATCGAGCTCCACCTCATTCAACTCTACTGCCAGAGCAGAGCAGATCTCTGTCGTGGTAAGCGGCCGTTTCGCATACGTGATCCACGACAGTACTCTTCTAGCTAGTTCGTAATCTCCGCTTAACTGACCCTCTATGCGATGGATCGCCTCCTTGTATGCGTCATCGAGTGCGGCCGAGCCTTTGGAGAGCTTAGCCAGTGTTGACTTCACGTCCTTCGCAGTTCTCTTGTCTAGCAGCGAATCAGTGTGGAGGCGAGCAAGAAGAAACCTGAGAACGTGTAAGTCCACGTCATATTACGAATTGATTAGGACAAACATACATGCCATCTACCGCCTCTACGATCTTTTTCTGGGCAACCTCCTGTAGCGCAGGGTCACGTTGAATACACCTCGGCAGTCGACATATCTGGCCAGCCACGAATCGCTTCACATCCTCTTCACTAGCCTGCACCTCCAGCTTTAGCCCTTCGTTGAACCAGTCCACAATCTCTGGAATTAAACGCGAGGTGGCCATTAGGCGAATGTCACGTCCTGCCTGAAGATCGCGGAGTTTGGCTAGAAACTGGCGCCGAGTGCCGTCGCTATCCAGACATTCATCCAGAGCATCGACCACAATATAGACAGTAGAGTAATGTGCAAGTACATCTCGGAGTGCGCTGAAGACCCCATCAGGCGATGGCCTGGTCCCTCTGTCAGCATGCTGTTTGTGCAACCGTTCCACAGGATCCACTAGTGACAGTCGAGCCTGCACCAGTTGCTTAAGGATAGCTGCCAACATCCTCGAAGTATCCTGCTCCTCCTGAGCCTTATAGTTGCAGTACACGTAGGCAACTCCATGTGAGCTGCTCTGCACTGATTTCAACAGATGGTCGATCGCGATGGCGGCTACCATGGTCTTGCCAGCTCCCGGGATACCTGGGCAGAAGAGTGTTGCATGGTGTTCACTGAGCCACGTGGCCACCTGAGGCGCATCTAGAAACCATTGGCCTGTTCCCTCCTGTCTGCGATCTATAATGTCGGATTGTTGTGCGGGGTAGTCTGAGGGAGAGATCCATTCCAGAATCCTGCGGTGCTTCGCGGCGTCTTGATCTTGCCTGATCTCTTCTACACCCGACTGAATAATAGGTACGTGCGTCCGAACGAAGTGGGTATCTTCTTTAATGGATTGCGAGAGTTTGCTTTAGGACGTAAGCAACATCGCTCTACCGTCCTAGTAAGAAAGCTTACAAGTGGTCCATCTGCAACGCGATCTCTACGAGCGACTTCAAACGTTCTATTCGATCCAATATGCCAGCAATCTCCTCTTTCTTGAACTTCCACACCAGCGCTTCGCCTACTTTCTTCAATGGGCCTCCGTCTATAATCTTGGTCTGCAGCGCTTCGAGTGCCTGCTTGAACTGGTCAAGTGGTCCCTCTCGGACTGCCAGTGCTTCGACGGCGGTACACCATGGCTGGCTACGAGCTCCTGTTTCAATATGATCGCGGAGTTTGTAAAGCAGGCTGCAAAGGTTCAACAATTCAAGTGCACACTGCGTGCGATCTTTCGAAGCATCCTTCACGTCGTTTAGGTATTCGAGGACCTTGCCCGAGAGCTGGAGAACTGCGATGATGCTGGCTGTAACGCTGAGTGGATCCATATCGTGAAATCGACATAGGTAGCATATACGTATGGAGGGGAGGCGGAAATGGAGGAAGACTGCATTGTCTAGGCGGAGAGGCTGAAGCGGGAGCGGAGGGCTGAGGGATTGCGGCTGCAGCAAGGCTGAACAGCTCGTTGTGCTGCGCCGCACCTTATCGATAACGCCAGATTGTCGTGGCCTCAGCGCTTCTCCACTGGTGAGTGAGGCACGTAAGGCCACAATGTAGCTTTCGGGCTAATGCATCTTCATGATCTGTGGGGTAGTCTATTTATTGTGTCACTCATCTATCCATCAGCGAGATCAACCGTGCAGCGGTCGTGTAAGCGCACAGAGTTCCAAAATATCACTCGATAGGCAAGCTACTTGTCTGAAAAGTATTGTGATCACTGCGCCTCGCTTAATTAACTTGGAGTAATTCTGCTAACTCGAAGCTACTCTAATAAAGTTAATCATCTACGATTAAGGGTGCGGGTAAGGCTGAACTGCTGTAAGCAAGAGCTTAGCTACATGCAATAAGACGCACTAATTACCGCGAGGTGGGCATTAGCCTCACAATCGTCCTAACCAAGTAATAGTAGAATGACTACTTCTGGAACTATGTGCACGTTGATGATTTGTCATTTCAGCATCATTGAACCGATGAACTATCCCAGCGGCGCTAGCAGGGAGGACGGCCGACCCGCACCGGCTACAGGGTTGTAAGCTTTCCGGCGATTGAGTATTGTATCACAGATACTAGCAGGAGCTAGGCGGCTTAAGTTGATCTAAAGCGTATGAGGTATAGCTCCCGCTAAGCGAGGCTGACCCCCCTGCTGTGAGAAAGGGCGCGAAGTGTAGATACCGGAAGCCAATTCTGCAAGCGAGTGTAGCAGGATTGAAGCCATACTCTTCGGTCACAGCATTGTATGTAGTTATGTAAAGATGTCATGTCTTGCTAGCCGCAGCAGGTGCTGAGTGAGATATTTCTAACCTCACAATTACAAGGATCTTGTTAGCTTTAGGCTGACCTCAGTGGGCTGTTTCAATAGTCCTATCGTCTTTGCTGATAACATGAACTACGCCAATGAAAAAACCCGCTATTGGCTCTGTGAGAAACACCGATCTGGCAACGCTTCACACGAACCAGGATGGAGCGCGCAGATTTGCAGGAGACGGAAATGTGTCGAAAGTAAAAACCTACTCAACCGCATACAAAAGGTCACAAAGCATAAAGTGAGCGACAAAAAGCATAGCTATAAAAGATAAGCCAATAGACAAGTACCTAGGTCGGCTTACGTTGAATGGACGAAAGTCCGTTTGAGATGTGACCACGGCCATTCAGCGAAACGATCACAAAGCAAGGAAGGTCTACTTGTGCTTACAAACCATTGCTTGTGAGTATCCACCTCCAATTTGCGGGGCTTCCCGTTCCGATAACGAACACGATGGTGTGCACAATTCACTTTAGTGTTTCAGCGGCAGCTAAACCTATTTTGTAGCTCTGCAAACTCCCAACGGTGCATGGATTTATAGCCATCGATCCTCTTGCCGAGTTGCGCGCGCATGCCCTCTTAGCCTCCAGCTAAACATGTTTCATCAACTTACTACCTAATCTTGAACTATCCAACCTCATCAATCGCACTACTGAGGCAACCAAGACTGCAATACGCACATGCAATCCCACGCCAAGCATAGAAGAAGCTCATCTTCCCTCCATTGACGAATTCGTATTATACGTCATTCTACGATCCTACGCCACCGTCCCGGAACTCATCATGTGTCTCATATATCTTTCATGGTTCCAGGAACGCCTACCTCCTGGTAGTTTTATAATGCGACCGTCTACCCCTCATCGGGTTTTCCTAGCAGCTTTGATGATGGCGCATAAGGTCTACAATGATAACAGCGTGAACAACACTTGCTGGGCGGAATGCAGTGCTTTCCCTGAATGTGGTTTCGCTGGCTTCTCGAACGTGGAGGTGAATCTGATCGAGAAGGAGTTTTTGTCATTTCTCGATTGGGAAGTACACATCAGTCCCGACCTGTATGACGCGGTCAGCCGAGTGGTTCACACACCCTCTTATCCACCGTATCCCTTGCAAACCGAGCTGCCCTGGGCTTGTGAGTGTTGTATTTGCATCAATGGGTATGCAAACTCTGCACAGGGATTGTGGCACTGCTTCGCCTGCCTACCACCGGGCTACGCCGATGTAGAGATGTCGAAGAAGGTACTTTCTGCGGAGCGATCCCAGTTTTTTCCCACCGACCAATCCTTCACTGCATTACATCATCAAGCAGCTTCACTCGACTGAGATGCGATAGGGAAGAGCAAGGGATTCCCGACGGCCAACACCCCTTGAGCTTTCACCATACGTAGCGAGTAGAAGTATGATTGAACGAAAATGAATCCTGTGCGCGGCCCATCATCATAAGATGGGCTCCCGAGTATGCGTTATATCTCTTGTGCAAACAATTTTCTACATCTAGAAAGCACGTTGAAGTGGACTATGGTAACGAAGTTGGTAATGCATCGCAGGGTATATGAAGAGGTGACAGACGAAAGGCAAAATCATCGCTGGCGTCTTTCTTATTGAAGGCGGTGCGCACTCTCACAGTAGTGTGGGAAGGAGCGACTACCAGATGTGGTGGAAACAACATTGTCGCTTCTAAGTTAAGTAGTAGTAGCCTAATGTCTCTTTGTTATAGTTTTCTTGTTATAAACAGAAGCTCTCTTACAAACTGTGTCGTTATATAGCCCAAGCATGAACTAAGTCAAGTCGCTACATTCCACGAAGTAAATACTACCTTCCGCTTCAAACCCATCCCTGCCTGTTCGCCCGTGTTGCAATTACATTGTGGCCGCCTCCTCCAAAAAGGTGCGACCAAGTTCGTGCCACATGACGGGGATGAAGGCACCCCACCTTACTAGCGTGAGTTGGGATTAGCCCTTGTGTTAGCGGACGCGGCGAGGTGGTTCTGGGCCCTCCCCTCCCCCTCCCTTGCATTCAAGCAGTGACTGTTCCAGGAGTAATGCAACCCCTGCTATACTTTGCGCGCAACTGAATCCTTACAGTACTGCCCTAACTAGATAAGTTGTGTGCATTGCGTCATGCTGGGCGTCACTAGTGTTTAGCCGCGCGAGTAGCAGATGGGCCTCTTAGTTCGCCCAAGATTGCAGGGAACAGAGCGATCACGTCAACATTAGCATGCTCACAAGTCATGGTCAAGGCCAGGCACGAGGGACGCCAACAAGTCCAGCTCTGTAGGAGGGCTTGTGCAACCGCAGCCGCAGTCACTAGCACCTACGCAATCTGGTCCCAGAGCTGCCGCAGCGCAAACTGTAGGCATTCGCGCGGAGACGTACACAGCCATTGACGCTATTCAAACCTGCGCCCCGAATGACTATAGCATGTATAAATACGGCCGCAGAAGAAGTTCCGATACAGAGAAAGAATGCAACCGGGGTGCATGAGCGCTAGAACCTGCTCAAACCATATCTTGATCATATCCTCAGCTATGCTGCTAATACCACGCATGGGATACGAAACTGTCTGCACCCAACAATGTGGGCACATGGAGAAGACGGTGGTATCAAAAATTAACACTATTGCCAGTCACAACGACGTACTCCCACCCCCAGAACAATTCACATTAAACACAAGTTGTTTGGGTCTAGAGCAAAGGGTCGCGTGCCACAAACATGAATTGACTTTCCTCTTACTGAATAAACTGACTCCACATCGTCGCTATGAACACTCGTGCCGCCTTTCGCTATCGAACCTGCTCAGATGGACCCATTGCCCATAATCTAGCCGTACGACTACAAGATGTTACTTGGCATGCTGTAATAATCAGATATTGGATGGTGGCTATCCGTAGTGGCCTGAGAGTAGGAATTCTTCCTTGTGGATACTGATGGGCCTGAGTTCGGTGCGTGAAGGAATTCTCTTTGCGTTGTCTTGCACTCTTTGACAGTCTTGTGAAACCAGATCTCCGACGACATGTTCGTACAAGAAGACTGGAGGGGCGGCAAAGTTGGACGCTGTGACAGACTAAGTGTGTCGGTCACACTTTGGTCTTGGAACAGTAACTTTTTTGCTTCTTGCACGATCCCCTTTATGTTTTCATCCATCATTTCTCTGTCCAGCGTTAGCCAAATCCTAGTGAGATGAAACATGTCGTAATGAACGTACGGCTTTATCAATAGCACGTGGATTGATACCCATTCACCATTAACCACGAATTGGACGAACTCGGGGTATTCGGGGTGCTGAAAATAAGGCCTGCCATCAAGTCGAGAATACCGAACTTGCTTGAAGTTCACTGGTATTAAACCCATTCTAATTGTATAGACGTTGTCATCGCCAGACAGAAAACTTGCTGCTGCGTCCTCAAATAGGGCACCCTCATTATGAGTTCTTCCTCTGCTGGATCATGCGGCACAGTTCTCAGACGCGTGCATGAACCCGGTATGGCACACTAGCCATGGTTACGAGCGAAATTTGATGGCATTGACTAGGGGATGAGCGACTCCGTAAGCAGCTTGGAATGTCGCTCGGGCTTGTCGCGCAGCGTGACCCAAGCGCCCATGTGGCTCGGTCGCGTACGCAAGTACGTATGTACCTTCCGCTCGGTAAGCAGCTTACTATAGGAGAGTCACTAGAGCAGATCATGCAAGGCTGCCATCCCAAAACGCGTAGACGAGACTAAGTCCATTACGAAGCTGCATGCACAGGCTAAGTTGGTATTTGTGACCGTCGGGAACTCTACTAACTAGCTCCTCCTACAACGTCTATTGACCAGGAGGACGGGATGTCCACGACAAACGAAAACAGCGTTATGCATAAAAAAATGTCATGAAACGTTGTGCATATCGGATACTCCGCTCTGTGGATCCTTGCTCTCTTCGGCTGCTGCGCAGCGGCTTTCATTTTCTGCAAACATCAGTCTAGTAAGCTCAAAATCAGCGATTGGTATACCACGATTGCCAGCATCCGGTCAATACCAACAGGCGCATTGGATGATGTGTAACAATCAAGATGCAGTCAATTACTGCGGCCAGCTGAACCACTCCTAGCAAACTGGAGAGAAGGATGTCTGCAAAGTTCATTCTTCGCCGCTCAACAACTATCGTGACCACTACTAAGTTGAAGATAAGAATTTCAGTGCACAATAGATATCTCCTCAAGTATGCCCTTCAAGTCCCCTAAGAGATTTTATCCAAGTTCTTGAAACCGATTTGCCATTGTCCGAGTCGGAGGAGGAGATTGATATCGGAATCATGATCGGGATCGCGACTAGGGTTGGCTCGGTATGTTGAATCCTGCAGCGGTATGGATAAAAAATCGAAGAATTCAGGTTACTCTGGTTGCCACGCCGTGGGACACGATTGCATAAGCAGAGCGTAGCACATGAGGAATATGTGCCATATAACAGAGATATTGTGAAGTTCTAATTGCCACAAGATTTGATGAATTGGACCTGATATACGATTGCGCAGAGGCTACAGATGAACGGCTCTAGTGCAGAACTTACCAAGCACGTGCAAAGGTTTTGTTTGCGATTGATGACGTCGAGCGGGGCGCCACCTTTTGCCCATCACTATACGCTGAGGTTTGCGAAGTACTACTTAGAGTGCCATATGCTGACCTTTGGAGCTTACTATTCATTCCTTCGATATATATCTCCATGCATACGTCAGTAGCGCAGATGAGCGGGAGGGGGAGCGTCCTACTGTGGGACGACGAATAGATAGTTTAAGACTCCTACAACTATCAGCGCAGTAGAAGCAAGCTGACCACATGATCAATATTTCTGTATTCCCGCACTATACATACATGCGAATCTATGCCATCTCAATAGGTAGCTCTTCACTAAGCTTTACTGTTGGTAAACCATCGACTTAGGTCAAATAGCTGGTTGTACCAGGTGCGATAGTCGTTCTCGTCGCGTAAGATAACGGTTGCGTTGATTGGAGCAGATTGCGCGTTCATGTTGATTGGCTTGGTAAAGGCAGTGAGACTCTTAATTGTCAGACTGTGAGGTGTTTTCTAATCAAGGATAGACTTAAGTCACTGTGATAAATAGCTGCGATAATTGATGGGAGAAATTGATTGTATTGATTGTTCTGTCCTCGCCAGCGGCGCGCAGGAGCGCCGCCTTATGAGCGCTGTCGCTGCGACACCAGTGGTATCAGTTGTGTCTCATGTATCGGCCCTACCTAGGGTGGGCTTGGCGCTTGACTCTGATTGGCTAGGATCACAGAATCCTGGTGCTCGAGTCCGCACCCGGATTCTGCCGCTTATCTGACAA